TTCGACCTGTAGCAGTTCTTGTGGCAGATGGGTGATAGCAAACGCACGTGTCCCTGCTCTTCAGTGTGGGTTGGTAAGGCTTGCTTGACTCCAGGACAAATTGTTGGTTTTCTTCCATGAGAAAATCTTAAAATTGGCAATACTTCTGTTAAGAAGGACCAGCTGGTCTGAAACAGGCACAAGGAGTGGCTTATGCTGTCCTGTTACTGCAGGAGAGCAGTTACTGTTGCTCTATGTTCTTATGTCTTATTTTCTGTTTTCTTTCTTTTGCTTTGCTGGGGTCTTGCAGGAGATCACATTCAAGCCAAAATCCTGGGGAATGCGCCATATGGGATTTACAAGTTTAAATTCCCCAGGGCCATCAGGACTGAGGATAATGTGGGAGCCAAAGTGTTCTTCTTCAAAGCCTTCCTCCAAAGCAGCGATTTGTCCCAGGCAGAGCTGAAGGATGATTACCTGTGGGTCACGAAGGATGAGCTGGGAGATTACTTGAAGTCGGAATACCTGAAAAAAATCAATCGATTCCTTCTGGACTTGTAAGCCAGAGGCTGTGCTCCAGCAGATGGGGAAGATGTGGGCTGCGGCTCCAAGGAGGAGCACAGCTGCTGCTTTGCGTGGTCCGTGTGTATGAGGTGTTAACTTGAGCTCTGGAGGATAATTTGCCTTTGCTTTATTTCCCAGTTCTCTTCACCGGGCCTGTCCTAAATAAATATTAAAACTTACACTATGAAGCGAAGCTCTCCTCAGGGAGTTCTTTGCTCTTGTTGAATCCTCCTCCACCTCTTCTGGAAGTGCACGTTGTTATCTTTTCCTCTCCCAAATGTGTGATTCCCTGGGGCTGTGGTAGCTGGGAGGCTCGCACTGTTCACCAGGCTCCTGTCATAGTCTAGAGCTCAACTGGTTGAGCAGCAGCTCTGGGCTGAGAGGCTCGTTTTTGGTGGCAGGGAAGGCTGCTCTAGCATTGCTGCCTCTTGGGAGCAGTCTCAAAGGTAGCTCTGGGGAGTTATCCGCTCCCATTCCTTAGGACAGCACCACTCACCCAGCACAGCGAGGTCTGCCTCAGCCTGACCCTATTACTCCAATTTCTTTATTAGAAGATCTATATAAGTATATGGTGCTGTTTCACCTCTCTGGGGCCGGTTCTATTTCTTGGAGGGCTTTTTCTGGTTGTAAATGTTGCTGTTTGGTAGTCAGAGTGCTGGCTGGACCTTGCAGAGAATCAGCCTGCCTTGGTGGCCGGGAGAGCGGGAGGAAATAACAGTCGTTAATCACTGGGAGAGAGTTCAGCCTCCAGAGGTGGAACTGGAGATTGCTGTATATATTTTATCAATCCTTTGGGAGCTGTTGAGCTGCAGGCCTCAAATTAAAGCTATCCTTAATCACTCCACAAGCCATTGGGATGGGAGGGTAGCACAACAGCCTTCTATTTTCTAACACTGGGCAGTTTGGAGCTGCAGGCTTGCCATAAATTACAAAAAAAACCCAAACAACTTGGTTTCTTGAAGCACCTTTGCAGGCCTGGCAAGGAGGCTGTGTCTGCAGTGAAGAGCACTTGCAAAGAGGAAATAAATACAGAGAGTATGTGCCTGAAAAACTGCAGATATTTTGGCTTCTCCACTGCTGAAGGGGAGACTATTGCCTTCTCCATGACTGAAAGCTCCTGCAGAGGGGAGAGGTGAGTCCTTCCCCTCAGGCTGTGCCCCACCAGCCTGGGGGGCCAGGGGTTAGCTCAGGGTTAGACTTCTCTCTACCACCCTGTTTCAGGATGTTGCTGGCTCTGCAGCACACAGCCGCTGAGCGGAGCTCTGTGGGCACAAGCTTGGGGCCTGCCCTTTGCTGGGGTCTCTGCCCCGTTTCCCGTGCCAAAGGCAGGTTTTGTGTTGCTGGAGTGAAACTTTCCAAGCATATAATGTGCTGTTTAGTCAGTGCTTTTTTGCTTTCAAAATCAGGAGTAAAAAAAGAGAAAAGGCTGCACTGAAAGCTTGCTGATCGTCAAACCCAGGCAGTTCTTGTTCTCTGGCTTGCTCAAGCTGCAAGTTTTGGGCATTGTCTGTGCTGAGAGGTGTAGCCCCCTCCAGCAATGGAAGGATTAGACTCAGCAGCCTCCTTTTTGTTATTTTTTTTTCCTTGAGCTCAGGCCTTATCTTACAGGTAGGAGGTGTGTGAGAAGTTTGGTCTTTTCTGGAAGCCGAAATTGTTTTCTCATCACCTAAAATACAAATTCCTGGTTAAAGTCTGCATAGGAACAACGTTTTTTTTTCTGCAGTTGATTTTATTCAAAAGCCCTCACCCAGTTACTAAATCGTATTTGTTTCCCATTAGAAAAAAAGAAACTTGTAGAATTATATGGAGATTCCAAAATATGGACATATTAGAAATAATTTTATGAAAGACTATCCCCCATGTTTTTTGGATAAAACTTCTTCATCCTTCCTAAATTTTATGGTTTAATAACAAATAAATGTCATACTCTGTGGCAGAGAATACATATGAAAGTTTCTATGAAATTTCATGGACTGTGACCTGAAAAGTGTAGCAGAAAGCTGGTCAGAGTGACAGAGACCATGAGTTTAGGAAACATTTTGTCTGTCACTAGGATATATCCTTATCTGCCACTCTACTGCTTGTGAATGAGGAGGGATGGGGGCAGAAAAACAGTATTGATTATTTGAAGCTGCAATTGTCTCATCCCCTAAAACACAAATTCCTGCTCACAGCCTGCATTTTTTTCTGCAGTTGATTTTATTTAAAAACTCTCAGCCAGTCGCTGCAAACAGTCCCTGCAACTTGCCTGCTTTTGCTCAGTTCTGTGTGGCCTTTTCCCCCACTTGCTACCTCAGTAAGAGAGAGGGCAGAAGGATTTTGTGCATGTTTCCTAGCAGAGAGGATGGTTTGTGTCTATCTTCTCATTTCCTCTCTACTCCCGGAGGTCCTGTGGTAGATCACAGAGGCTGTTATTTTCCTTTGAGAACTTTGTCTCTGCAGGCTGTCCTTCCGCTCAGTGCAAACCTAGACCTGTACTTGCAGAGTTGCAGGAGTATAATCAGGCAGGTAGGTGGGATATATGTTGCTGGTAACTACTGACAGGATAGCACAAGGCCTTCAAACCTTTTCTGAAAGAGCTTTTTTCTCTCCTGGAGTAGAAGAAACCTGTTGAGTTGTGGTCCTGCCCCAGCCGTAGTATGCCTCCTGCGGTCTGGCACAAAGAGCAGGGGGAGCATTTTGCTTGTGTTGAGCACAGGACGCAAAACTCTCCTTGAAAATGTGATGGAGAGTGTTTGCCTGGGTGTTGGGGCAATCTGGAGCTTGCTTCCACCCAAAGCCTGGAGAGTTTTTCTCACCTTGGCAAAGGCCTCTTCGCATGAGATCTCTCCACCAGAACCTGAAGCTGCAGCAAGTACCTGGCAAGGCACCGAGTCTGCTCTGGCTCTTCAGTGCAAGGCACAGTCAGATCAATCAAAGAGCTCTCCTGTGAAGTGTGTGCTGGAGAGAGGTATTTTGGGAAGGGCCTCTGACTCCTTGCTTTGAGAGCAGCTTCCTCTAAGAAGTCCAATGTAAGACCAGTGCTGCAGCTGCTGAGGCTGGTGTTTGAGAATTTTCTTCCCCTGACTCCGCGCCTCGGGGAGGAGGCTGGAGAGCAGTTGGACTGCAGAAGGTTTCTGCTCCTCAAAGCCATTTCCAGCACAAGATGCTTCCATTTGTGAGGGTGACGTGTGAAGGAGGCATATCAAGATGACCTTTCCCTGGTGCGATGCAGTCCAGCAGCTGTTGCTAAAAGCCCCCAGGAACAGAAACGAGCAGGAAGGATCAGTTGCAGTCTAAAACTCCTGCATCTAAGCCATTGCTGAAGCCATGACACTAGAAGAGAGAGATGAAGGTTTTCTTTGTGAAAAATTCAATGCTGGTACTCCCCTCCAGTGAAGGAGAGCTACCAAGTTCTAATGACATGGGTTTGCAGATGCAGCTTTCCTCTACTTCCTCTACAAAATATCTTCCCTAGCCAATATTCCTCCCTGTCTGTGGGAGTTTTGGGGATTGGTGCTCTCTAGGCAGAGCCCTGCTCGCATGTTTTGTGATATGGTGACGCTGTGTACTGCTCAGAACTGCAAGCTTTCTCACATAATAGGAAGCTGTTATTTGTTGCTCTTCCTGGCTGGCTCCAAGCAACCAAAGACTTCAACATTTGGAAGATAAATACATGCAGAGCCAGGAGAGGCTGCAGGGGCCATGGGCTACACTGCTTGCTGCTCCCTGAAAATCTGTAGGAGGGGAAATGCTGTTGCTCCTAAATACAGCCGTGAGCTTGGTAGAGCAGGGGGAGCTGCTCTGGTGCAGGGAGCACCCTGTGGTGTCCCTCCCTGCTGGGGCAAGGGGTGGGCTGGCTCAGGGTGGGTAGGAATTGGGCTATCCTAGCTGGGGCAGCCCATGGGCTCATCCCCCTGTCCCAGAGGTTGAGATATCTCCAGCAGCATCAGTCACTTGCTTTTGTTCTGTTCAAGTCCCTGTGCTTGTGCTGGAAGGAATCCATCTCTTTGGAGGGAGTTTTTCTGGCAGTACCTGGGTTCCTGCTGCACTCAGAAGCCTCTGGGAGAAGCAGCCCAGAGGCCCAGCAGAAAGTGGCTTGGAAAACCTGTTTGAAGTCACCAGTGATATGAGTGCATTAGGTCTTATCTTTCAGTTTTGAGGACATCTTTTTCCTTCCTTTTTTTGTGAAATGATCCCTGTGTTTTGACATAACCAGCCTACTGGAAGGATGCAGAGTGAAGCAGGCAGAAGGCAGCGCTTGGGTGAATCTGTGAAGGTAAGAGCAGATGTAAAAGAAGGGGGAAACTTGGACTCGGGGTAAAATTGCTCCAGAAGCTTTGCTGATAATACCCAGTCCTTAACATCAAGCCCTCAAAAAGCAAAGCCAGAAATATGTGAGGCGAGTAAAAAATGCTGACAGCAGGAAGCCCCTTCAGGTAGTTCTTGATACAGCATTGCTGTCACGGCTACTTTTCCCTTACAGATCTTGGGGGGCAAAAAAATCCTTTGGCAGGACTTCATAGGCAATGCTCAGGGACCATGGGGCATTTCTCAATTGAAATATGAAGCATTATTCAGCAACATTAAAATGAAGCTTCTTCAAAACCCAGGCAAGGCAATAAAGCCTTTATGCAGTGTATACAGGGTGTTAGGACTCACCATTGCAGCCTAGTCCAGAAGCAGGACAGGGTGCTCGCAGGACCCAGCCCCTTCCACAGCTACTGTGAACATCCAGCCTCATAATTAACTGAGGCAAAAGTTTAGGAAAAGATGTTACAGCTAACAATTTGCAGTTTAAGCTGATCTCTGCTGCAGATGAGGGTGAGAGCCCATGTCAGAGGCGAGTTACCTTGTGTCTGAGGGCTGCTCTCCTCTACTCCATTAGGGCAAAGGGAGCCTGGGGACACTGGGGTACGAAGCATGGGCCAGTGCTGCTGCTGGGAGGATGGCAAGCGATGTCAGGGGTGAGTGTGTGTGCTGCTGGCCTGCTTTCTGCTCTCTCCCATCTATCAAAGTAATTAAGCCCATTACATTTCCCCTTTCAGGTTTTACCCTCCCAAATGTTATTCCACAGCATTAAACCTGTGGGGGAAGTGAATTATTGGGGAAAGTAACTGGATATAATCCAGGCTTAATGGGCACATAGAAAAAGCACACTGCGTTGAGAGGGTGGCTCAGCCAGCGTCCTGCTTCTGCAGGCAAATAGA